AATGAAATTCTACTAGTGTGTAGTCAGCTTAACTCTGGCCAAGACTATTAGAGGTCTCCACGAGAATAGCTGTAGAAGAGATATCCATGCAGCAGCTATGTCTCTATGGAGCCCCATCATAGCCAACACAACATGCGCACTAACCCCCATCACCATGGATGATGGATGACACAACATGCGCACTAACCCCCATCACCATGGATGATGGATATATGTGAAGCCTTTCTGTACGCAGACACACACAGGATTACGTGTCACCCACCTGATTTTGAGGGAGTTAATGCCATCACTGGTTTTTAGCATAGAAACACATTTGCAATGATTTGGGCAATTGTATTGATTAATATTATAATTCTACAGGATGTATATGGTGCAAACAGATTACACAGAGCTTTATAAACATTAAAAAGGGAAACAGTCCAGGTACAATATAAATCAAGGCAAGTAGGTTAAGAAGGCCCTGCTGATGAGAGACTACAATCTAAAAGGGAGGTGCAAGTGTTACAAAAGGTAATAACTATAGGGATGAGATGAAAAGGTAATAGTTTAGTTGTGTGGTAGAGGCAGAATAGGTTTCCCTCAATAGAAGAGTTTTTGAAGTTTAAAGTGACATTAAAGCCAAGCATTCCTCCCCCCCAATGTTAATTAAAGCACTTACCTTAAATCAGGGCTCAAAATTTCATGTCCTGAGCTACTAGCCAGGCCATAAGAGTTACTCGCCACCAGTTGCCCCACCTTGCCCCCCGGCCTTAACTCCAACAGGTCAGTGGTGTGACACCGAGTACCGAGATCAGTAACAATGCAGAGTGCAGAGGCCAGTGGTGTAATGCCAAGTACAGAGAGCAGCCGGGTTGACGCACAGTACAGAGGCCAGCGGTGTGGCCCTGAAATGTTAGCTTTATGACACTTGTGACAATTCAATAAAAGTGCGTATACTTCTCACGCATATCATTGAGTGCTGGTGACTTCTATTATAGACTGCAGACCAACACACGTCAGACCGCAGACCAGAATAAAGACACATCAGACTGGGCAGATAGAATGACACAGACACAGCTAAATCAGATCAACCATCACACACTCCGATCCCTGTGGAATGTCACCCAAACACACACATTAATGGGCAGGTCCTTTCATGCCCTCACCTTCAGCAGGACCAGTGGCTGGGTGCAGCAGGCTGCCCCACAGAAGGCCAGCTACTTGAAGTACCAGCCTAACACCTGCAGTTCCGCCATTGCTTCTCACCTGGACAATCCACATGCTACTGATGCCAGGGCCGAACGATGGAGCTGGAGCCAATCAGCAAGCAGCTTAAGCAGGGCTGGCATAAGCCTGAGGGTGCTTGGAAAGTGGGCGGGGGCGGTGCGCGGGCGGGCAGATAAATGTACCTCCAACTGGGCAAAAATGCATGCATCAGCCCTGTGGAGAATACATGTCATGCATGACTCGGTGAATTGTTCACAGCACTCGGTGAATTGTCCACTTGCCCAACATCGTTGGGCATAGTTTTCAGTCTTAAACCTTTGCTGAGAGCTGTAAGCCTGTCTCCCCCCATGTACACACACATCTCTGTTGCTGCTGTAATCCCAGCACCAATCGTACCTCTTCATTGGCTTGTACGATAAGCATATAACCAAGAAACATCTTGCCTTGCCACAGCAGGTCAGCAGTGTGAATTGTCCATGAAAATGATTTAAATTAAACATAAAAGATGCATTAGCGTTTCTGCCATGTGGCTACACGGCAGATAGAACTCAGCTGGGAAGACAGGGTGGCTCAGCCACTGGGGAATTCTAATGACCGGGAAATGTTTGTTTTAGGTTTTTTTTTAAGCTCCAAGGGAGAAACAGACAGGGATCTAATCATCCAGGCACGCAGTAAAGTCTCAGAGCCGAAGGAGAGAGCAGAAGCCAATCGGTGAGCACCTCTGAGAACCTAGACCCCCCCCCCCAAAAAAAACCCCACTGCCATACCATGAGATGCTGCTGTTTAAAGCTGCGATGGGACAGTCTGGTGGGTCCTGAGGCGAGGGACACATACTGCTGCAGGCTGGGCTGGTTGAGAACAAAGTGAAACAGTGCTGCACTGATTCTACTCCTTCAGCAGCGGCGATCGCTGTGTAAGTTCTCCCTTCTCCTCATCAGCCGATGCTGCTATAGAGCGGAAGAGAAAACTGAAACAGCGATCGCCGCTGCCGAAGTGGCGGCAGTTCCCCCCCTGGATTTCCACTCGCCACCACGCAATTTTCACTTGCCAATTGCGAGGGGTCGAGTGGAAATTTTGAGCCCTGCCTTAAATGATGTCTCTTAATCCGATCATCTTCTTTCCTGTAGTTTTCAGCCTTCTCTTCAGAGCTGCCGCGGGTCTCCGATCCAGCGCTGACTCCTCTGTCCTTGCTGGCACTTCCTGTCCCACGGTGTCTGCATGCGGGTGCACGCGTCCATATACTTACCTTGTGTATCTCCTCGACTCCCGGACGAAAATCCGAGCTGCGCATGCGCCGGCCCCGAGATGCTTTGTGGCCGCCCGAGAATTTTCAGATTTTCGGACGAAGCGTGCGGAGAAGACAGGGGTAAGTTTAAAAGAGTTTTTTTTAAATGTTTTTGCATATATTTACTGCTTGTTAGCAGTAGATATATGCAAATAAAATGGGAGGGTTTAGAAATCCTTTAAAGGAGAGACTCTAGAGAAGTCCCAGAGGTAAGGCATGAGCCAGAGAGCAAGGAGATCTTTGGGGAGCAAAAATAACTTTTTGATATTTTAAGACCAGGTTGGTGATGCAGCTGAGGGAAGAGTTGTGAATGGTGTTTTATGTTGTTATTATTTTAAATTTTATTCTTTGGACAAGCAGACAGAGAGCAGTAGTGGACATGGAATGGTTGGTAAGGTGGATGAGTCTGGCAGCATTATTCTTGATGGCCTGAAGAGGGGATAGTCTGTCTGAAGGTGGCCAATGATGAGGGAGTTGCAATAGTCAAAGCAAGAGATAACAAGGGAGTGAATAAGTATTTTGGTGATGTTATTGGTTGAGAAGGGGCATACTTTGGATATGTTAAGGAGGTGAAGGCGGCAAGATTTGGACAGTGATTGAATGTGGGTCTCCATAAAAAAAATAAAAAGTGCTGTAATAATTACAATGAAAAAAAAATGTTTCTTGTTCTGCTGGTCCTCCACTGCAGTAATGAGAGTGAAGAGGCCAGAAGGAATTCTGAAACTACAGTGATCATACCCAAGCGCAAGTGCTGATGGGCGGTCCTGCCAACAGGGTTTCAGGGAGAGATTGTGCAGCACCCCCATCTAGGGATCTTCACAGTAATGTTTATCGGTGTGGGTGGGATCTCTTACAATATGGGGTGGTGTTATCCCCAGTAAGCATTTGATGATCTCCTGATAAACCCATGTGATCATTATGAAAAT